TAAGCACACAGCCAAGACAAAGCAGGAGTGGCTTCGGGACAAGTCTCTGAATGTCCTCAAGACCCTAAGCACACAGCCAAGACTACGCAGTCTCTGAATGTCCTTGAGTGGCCCAGCCAGAGCCCGGACTTGAACCCGATCGAACATCTCTGGAGAGACCTGAAAATAGCTGTGCAGCGACGCTCCCCATCCAACCTGACAGCGCTTGAGAGGATCTGCAGAGAAGAATGGGAGAAACTCCCCAAATACAGGTGTGCCAAGCTTGTAGCGTCATACCCAAGAAGACTTGAGGCTGTAATCACTGCCAAATGTGCTTCAACAAAGTACTGAGTTTGCCTTGTCATTATTGGGTATTGTGTGTAGATTGACGATTTAATCCATTTTAGAATAAGGCTGTAACATAACAAAATGTGGAAAAAGTGAAGGGGTCTGAATACTTTCCGAATGCCCTGTATATACACACAGTGTACAAAACATTTCCATGACACAGACTGCCCAGGTGAATCCAGGTGAAAGCTATGATCTCTTATTGATGTCACTTGTTAAATCCACTTCAAAATCAGTGTAGATGAAGGGGAGGAGACAGGTTAAAGAAGGATGTTTAAACCTTGAGACAATTACATTTTAGTCATTTAGCAGACGCTCTTATCCAGAGCGACTTACAGTTAGCACATACATTATTTTATCGAACCCACAACCCTGGCGTTGCAAACGCCATGCTCTACCAACTGAGCTACATCCCCTGCCGGCCATTCCCTCCCCTACCCTGGACGACGCTGGGCCAATTGTGCGCCGCCCCATGGGTCTCCCGGTCGCGGCCGACTACGACAGAGCCTGGATTCGAACCAGGATCTCTAGTGGCACAGCTAGCACTGCGATGCAGTGCCTTAGACCACTCGCCACTCGGGAGTTAACACACAGAGAAAGCTACCATTGCTACACTGATATCACATATTTTCCAACTCTATGGACATCGTTCAAGAAAATCATTATGAGACATTGTCACCCCAAGTGAGCCCGACAACACGAATTTGGGGGTCTGGCTCATGGACTATTAAAAAGAGCACAAAAGGAAATCAATAACAATGTGGTAGTGAAACAAAGTGGGACCAAGTAAAGGTCCTCTGCACTGTAAGAAGTCACAAATACTTTTTGGACCGTGTTACCACTGGCTGTTTTTATTTTAATTTTATTTTTTTGACGTTCGGTCTGAACGTTAACACGCATCACTTGCGGTACGGCTTTGGAAACACAAGGACCTTATCTTTCAACTAAAAAGGTAAAATCACTACACACCTTCATAGGGTTAGGGTTCCCACACGGCCATATTTCCATGTTACAGTGCTTGTTTATGGAAGACAGAGACCGAGACGTCCACCTGTGCTAATTAGCTATCTATCGTGTACGGGAAGGACGCCAGAAAAGTGTTGTAACTTAAAAATACAGTCGGCTGCAACTGTCTTAAATATATACAGTGCCTTCAGAAAGTATTCACACTCCTTGACTTTTCCACATTTTGTTGTGTTACAGCCTGAATTTTAAATGAATTACATTGAGATTTTGTGTCACTGGCCTACACACAATATTCCATAATTTCAAAGTGGATTTTTAAAAACAAATTTGGCCGGACAAAGTTTAATTACTGATTAACGGATGCCCCGCCTTACTTTTCTCCACACCCCGCAAAAAAAATTAAATAAATAAATCAGATGTAATTTTTTGGGCAATATATGCGGCGCTTTGCTTATAATACACTGTCCGCTCTCCCTTTAGGCTTTCCCAAGTTAATGCGCAAGAGACCAAACAGCCTCAGATCACACGTTCAGATCATGTTAGAGCCTCGGATTGGACAGTGAAACACACACCTGCAGGCGACGTGCAGATGTTACGATTCTCTCTCATGCAGTCATGGCTAAAGCAAGCGCACATTCCTACTTTTATGTGTCCAGGTTAAACGTGGGACGTCCCTCATTATAAACAAACAGTCGGTTAAATTCATGGTTAATGCATCATTTTGTGGGAAATTATTATCTTATATTTTAGATGTGCTGTTAGCTTAATAAGAAAGCATTAATGATTAAACATAATAGGTTTGTACTGTACTGATATAAATTGGTCAACATAACAAGCTGTGATTAATGTGGGGAACTATTAGGGGGTAGGCTGAGATAAGACTTGTGTCTCACATACACACACACTGCCTCTTTGTTAGACCGCTCAAGGACATGTGTTCTGCTACAAACTGTGTCTGGGGTTGCTGACTCGAGACAAGTTGTGGAAAAAACAACTGACACCTGGCAACAGTGAAGGGGCTGGGACCAGCCTGTGCGCCAACGATAGGCTGAGTAAGTCTAAACCACGCTCGGTCTCTACTCTGATAGGCCAGCAGGGAGCGGGAACTCTCTGTCAGAGTATTTAAAGAAGAACTTATAACAATGGACCAGTTCTCTGTCTGCCCTGCGTGGTATTTCAGTGGACCCGTATATACGAACATCATATTTACCATTGAAGTGTTTTGCATTAATTAAAACACTAGTCTATTTTAGAAGACGTGTATTGACATCTTTTTGTTCCAATACCAGATTTGAATTGACGCAATTTAACAATTTTCAGATCTATTAGAAGCGATTAATAGACGAAACAACAATGTCATTGAGCCAATTGACTGGCCAGAGATCAGCAAAGACGCAGTGCAAGCTGATAGCATTTTGGGCAACCCAATTGAAGTCAAAATGATTGATGAAATCGAAGTGTCAGCTGTATGGTGATTTGCGATTCATAATTTACATTTTACCGGTACTACCAGTAGTAGTAGGCCAACCGATAACACCAAGACGGAATGCGTTTGAAGTGATGATGCGCCGCCGAAATCAGCTAGCACGTGCAGCAAAGTACATCACCAGTGGCACGCACACTTGGTGCAGATCATTATCTCCACAATGATGTGCTCGACTGTCTCCAAGGTGGGGGTTTTTCGTGGCAGCCAGACGAGACAATCGAAGGAGGATGCGGTGAGCAAAGTTACTGGGCTCGAATTTAGTCAAGCTTGCTCTATTGATGCTTCTAATTGTGCATGTTATAAATGACATGTTTTATTTTGATGATGATAGGCTATACTCTATGGCTGGATTTATGTATTTTTTCCAATGATACATTAATTTGGCAGACCACAAGGACTAGTCTAAGAGAGTCCTAATCATATTTGTATGAATATTTTGTTAACGCCTATAGGCTATAGAGATGCATTCAGGTAATGAACTCATTATTATACATCAAACATTTTAATTTGATTACAATTATTTGTTCTTGATTTTTAATCGAATAAAGAAACAGCCACAAGTTATACTTCCCATTGTGTTTCATTTCTCATGGTTATAACAACATTGTAACATCTGCATTCTTTTAAACAAAAATCGTGTAGGTTTTCGCATGGAATAATATAACTCTTGAAGCTCACATTAGGCCTAGAGCCTGCAGAAGTGCCTAGGACACTGTGGTAAAGTACTGTTATTCCTTAACCACTTAATGTTTGTTATTTTTTTAGCTCGCTTGCCTCACTTTTCTTGGGGGGTAATCCGTTAAACAGTGAATCAATTTTGTCTGGCCTTAATAAAAAATGAAAAGCTGAAATGTCCTGAGTAAATAAATATTAAACCCCTTTGTTACGGCAAGGCTAAATAAGTTCAGGAGTAAAAATATGCTTAACAAGTCACATAATTACTCCTGAACTCTCTCTGTGTGCAATAATAGTGTTTAACATGATTTTTTAATTACTATCTCATCGCTGTACCCCACACATACAATTATCTGTAAGGTCACTCAGTCGAGCAGTGAATTTCAAACACAGATTCAACCACAAAGACCAGGGAGGTATTCCAATGCCTCACAAATAAGGGGACCTATTGGTAGATGGGTAAAAATAAAATAAAAACAGACACTGAATGTCCCTTTGAGCATGGTGAAGTTATTAATTACATACACTTTGGATGGTTTATCAATACACTGAGTCACTACAAAGATAAAGGCGTCCTTCATAACTCAGCTGCCGGAGAGGAACTCAGGGATTTCACCATGAGGTCAATGGTGACTTTAAAACAGTTACAGAGTTTAATGGCTGTAATAGGAGAAAACTGAGGATGGATCAACAACATTGTAGCTACTCCACAATACTAACCTAATTGACAGAGAGAAAAGAAGGAAGCCTGTACAGAATACAAATATTCCAAAACATGCATCCTGTTTGCAACAAGGCACTAAAGTAATACTGCAAAAAATGTGGCAAAGCTATTCACTTTTTATTCTGAATACAAAGTGTTATGTTTGGGGCAAATCCAATACAACACATTACTGAGTACCACTCTCCATATTTTCAAGCATGGTGGTGGCTGCATCATGTTATGGGTATGCTTGTAATCATTAAAGACTGGGGAATTTTTCAGAATAAAAAAGAAAGAAACGGAATGGAGCTAAGCAAACCTGGTTCGGTCTGCTTTCCACCAGACACTGGGAGATGAATTCACCTTTCAGCAGGACAATAACCTAAAATACAAGGCCAAATCTACACTGGAGTTGCTTACCAAGAAGACAGTGAATCTTCCGGAGTGGCCGAGTTACAGTTTTGACTCGAATCTGCTTGAAAATCTATGGCAAGACTTGAACATGGTTGTCTAGCAATGATCAACAAACAATTTGACAGAGCTTGAAGAAAATAATAATGGGCAAATATTTTACAATCCAGGTGTGCAAAGGTCTTAGAGACTTACCCAGAAAGATTCACAGCTGTAATCACAGCCAAAGGTGATTCTAACATGTATAGACTCAGGGGTGTGAATACTTATGTAAATTAGATATTTCTGTAGTTCATTTTCAATACATTTGCAAAAATGTATAAAAACAAGTTTTCACTTTGTCATTATGGGGTATTGTGTGTAGATGGGTGAGAGAGAAAAAATATTTAATCCATCTTGAATTCAGGCTGTAAAACAACAATATGTGCAATAAGTCAAGGGGTAAGAATACTTTCTGAAGGCACTGTAAGGTCCTTGGACGTTAATGAGTATCAAAGTGGGGCCAAGTAAAGGCCCTCTCACTGTAATTGTAATATGGTAAAGTAATATACTCAATATACTCACTCGTAAGAAGTCACAAAGTATTTTAGGTCTGTATCATTAGGGCCCACTGACCCGATGTTCCATTGATCCCCTCCATTCTTCATAATATGCCAGCCATTTAATTTATCTGGAGAAAAAGCAGGATTTGAATTATTGGTTCTGGAGTTAACGACAGGACCACCACACCAATGTAGAGAATTTAGACATTTCTCTGGTCTCGACTCTTACCCTCTGCTCTGGGATTTTTGATAAGATTATGTCTCTTCTTACACAAGAAGTAAAACAAACACCAGTCTTCAGGTAGTTTAGTGGAATCACATGTCTGGTATCCCTCTCTTCGGCACTTCTCTCTCCAAAGAGAATCACTGTCCACTACTTCTTTCCACTCATGACACACCAGTCGACACACACACACCACCTGGTGCGGATGTACATTCAAGAGTATCTCCTCCAGGACTTCCAGAGGGAGCACAGGTAGCATGCCTGTGAACTGAACAAGAGAATATATGTTTTTGTTGACATGGGAGACTTTAGACAAATTATGTACAAACTAGTTTAGGTAGTCAGAAGTACAGGTTTGGGGTCAATTCCAATTTAATTTGAAATTCTAATTCAATTCTTGAATTCAATTAAAATGTCAACAATCTTTCAAGTTATGGAATTGGAATTAAACTGTTTGGAATTAGACCATTTGTAAAACATTAAACCTCAGGAATTGACTTGAAATTCAGTATTTAAAAGTGTCCCAGTTAATGGAATAAATGCACAAAGTATCAAACATTGACTGCAAGATTTCTTTTAAATCATTTCAACTTGTATTTCTATATTTCCAGTATAGCTAGGCTGTCTGAACAGTGACACGATCAGCCTGAAAGCCTAAGGGAATTGAATTAGAATGGGACGTTTTGGAGTCGTTGGGGATAATATTGAATTGGGAATACAATTATTGGAACTTACAGGGAGAGAGAATTGAATTTGTGCATTAACCCCAACCCTGCAGGCCTAGATGTAGGGTAAGTGTACCACTGTTAATACAGTCCCAAAATGTTTTGCATGTCAGCAGTCAAGTTTTCAAGATATTGGACTTTCAAGAAGCAAAGTGTCACTGGCCACATCATCATAATGATGCAAATGCATCGTGAAAAAAATACCAAAAGATTTGTTTTTGAGTGGATCTTTCCTTTAATGTTTCAACCAGTTCATGTAGTTGCTGTCTCCATTCCAGTTTTTATTCTAAGCCAATTAGATGTTTTATTATTGTTATTGACAGTTGTGTACGTTCCTACTAGCAGCCAATTTTAAAGCTTAAAAAAAGGTGACTGATAAACAAATTGTTCTGATATTTGTTGTACCTCCTCAGATAAGTGATCATACTTCATGTAAAATTAAGACAATGTGTTGATATATGCACATAATAGCATACTACATGTCACAGTCAATACAGTTGCAACATAACTTGGTGAACCACAATAATATAATAGATCAAGGACTCACAGCTCACATTTTGTAATGCATTTAGTCTTATTTTACTGTTAAATTAACCTTGCATTGTTATACATGGATGCTTTTTTTGTAAATTTGACATTATCTCAGGTGGTCTTAACACTAGAAAAGCCGGACCTTGAGGGACCCCCCCTGTAAACCAATGCACAGTCATTTTAACTCAAACAGTCTAATAAACACATTCCGGAAGTTTACATACATTTAGGTTGGAGTCATTAAAACTCGTTTTTCAACCACTCCACAAATGTCTTGTTAACAAACTATAGTTTTGGCAAGTCGGTTAGGACATCTACTTTGTGCATGACACAAGTAATTTTACCAACAATTGTTTACAGACAGATTATTTCACTGTATCACAATTTCAGTGTGTCAGAAGTTTACATACACCAAGTTGACTGTGCCTTTAAACAGCTTGGAAAATTCCAGAAAATGATGTCATGGCTTTAGAAGCTTCTGATAGGCTAATTGACATCATTTGAGTCAATTGGAGGTGTACCTGTGGATGCATTTCAAGGCCTACCTTCAAACTCAGTGCCTCTTTGCTTGACATCATGGGAAAATCAAAAGAAATCAGCCAAGACCTCAGAAGAAAATGGTAGACCTCCACAAGTCTGGTTCATCCTTGGGAGCAATTTCCAAACGCCTAAAGGTACCACGTTCATCTGTACAAACAATAGTACGCAAGTATAAACACCATAGGACCACGCAGCTGTCATACCGCTCAGGAAGGAGACGTGTTCTGTCTCCTAGAGATGAATGTACTTTGGTGCGAAAAGTGCAAATCAATCCCAGAACAACAACAAAGGACCTTGTGAAGATGCTGGAGGAAACAGGTACAAAAGTATCTATATCCACAGTAAAACGAGTCCTATAATCGACATAACCTGAAAGGCCGCTCAGCAAGGAAGAAGCCACTGCTCCAAAACCGCCATAAAAAAGCCAGACTACGGTTTGCAATTGCACATGGGGACAAAGATCGTACTTTTTGGAGAAATGTCCTCTGGTCTGATGAAACAAAAATAGAACTGTTTGGCCATAATGACCATCGTTATGTTTGGAGGAAAAAGGGGGCGCTTGCAAGCCGAAGAACACCATCCCATCCTCGAAGCACGGGGGTGGCAGCATCATGCTGTGGGGGTGCTTTGCTGCAGGAGGGACTGGTGCACTTCACAAAATAGATGGCAGGAAGAAAAATTATGTGGATATATTGAAGCAACATCTCAAGACATCAGTCAGGAAGTTAAAGCTTGGTCGCAAATGGGTCTTCCAAATGGACAAATGACCCCAAGCATACTTCCAAAGTTGTGGCAAAATGGCTTAAGGACAACAAAGTCAAGGTATTGGAGTGGCCATCACAAAGCCCTGACCTCAATCCTATAGAAAATTTGTGGGTAGAACTGAAAAAGCATGTGCGAGCAAGGAGGCCTACAAACCTGACTGAGTAACACCAGCTCTGTCAGGAGGAATTGGCCAAAATTCACCCAACTTATTGTGGGAAGCTCGTGGAAGGCTACCAGAAACGTTTGACCCAAGTTAAACTATTTAAAGGCAATGCTACCAAATACTAATTGAGTGTATGTAAACTTCTGATCCACTGCGAATGTTATGAAAGAAATAAAAGCTGAAATAAATCATTCTCTCTACTATTATTCTGACATTTCACATTCTTAAAATAAAGTGGTGATCCTAACTGACCTAAGACAGGGAATTTTTACTAGGATTAAATGTTAGGAATTGTGAAAAACTGAGTTTAAATGTTTTTGGCTAAGGTGTATGTAAACTTCCGACTTCAACTGTATATGCTATCGGAAAAATAAGCCTTTGGTTGTGTTTATGGAGGTCTTGGGTAACATTATAATACGAAAAAATAATTATTTCAAAGAACACAATAGCATTTCATTCGTTTATGTTACTGTAGGCTATCTGTTGCCGCGTGCTCATGTGTGGAGCGCATTGAACTGTGGATATTCTTGAAAAAAACTGCTTATAACACAAATTCTGATTGTGATATAGAAATTCTTACAACATACGTAGGTTAAATAGGACGGACGGGTATTTAACTTTAAAAATGGCAGAGATAATTGAATTTTTAATTCATATACAGTGAGGGAAAAAAGTATTTGATCCCCTCTCAATCAGAAAGATTTCTGGCTCCAAGGTGTCTTTTACACAGGTAACGAGCTGAGATTAGGAGCACACTCTTAAAGGGAGTGCTCTTAATCTCAGCTTGTTACCTGTATAAAAGACACCCGTCCACAGAAGCAATCAATCAATCAGATTCCAAACTCTCCACCATGGTCAAGACCAAAGAGCTCTCCAAGGATGTCAGGGACAAGATTGTAGACCTACACAAGGCTGGAATGGGCTACAAGACCATTGCCAAGCAGCTTGGTGAGAAGGTGACAACAGCTGGTGCAATTATTCGCAAATGGAAGAAACACAAAATAACTGTCAATCTCCCTCGGCCTGGGGCTCCATGCAAGATCTCACCTCGTGGAGTTGCAATGATCATGAGAACGGTGAGGAATCAGCTCAGAACTACACGGGAGGATCTTGTCAATGATCTCAAGGCAGCTGGGACCATAGTCACCAAGAAAACAATTGGTAACACACTACGCCGTGAAGGACTGAAATCCTGCAGCGCACGCAAGGTCCCCTTGCTTCGTCCCGCAATGAGCCATTGTTTACGGATGTCTCGTTGTGGAAGCTTCCGTAGCCTGGTGCCCTTGATCGACCAAACCTAAACTATTCGGTTTCACCCAAATAAAGTTTCCCTTCAGAGGCATATCCAATATCTCTCTGAACAATAGTTATGATTTGTTGGGTTGAATGTTTCACTCGCTATCAAATAAGCATTTAAAACCAGTTTTTATCCAGGTTCTCCCATTTTCTGCCTGTAGAAGTGAGAGCGTGGTAGCTTACTCTCATGTGGCTGTGGTCTAGGCAGCCCACAGGCGGAATATGGGAGACCCTGGACAAAAATGTGTTTTAAACGCTTATTTGATAGCAAACAACACATTCAACCTAATGAATTGTAAGTATTGTTCCTAGAGATATTGGATACGCCTCTGTTGACAGGAAACATTATTTTGGTGAAAGTGAATAGTTTAGTTTTGGATGATCAAGGACGCCAGGGGTGTATTCATTATGCCGATTCTGTTGCAAAATGTTTTGCAACAGAAACCGTTTACTCCAAACTCTGTTGAGTTCTGTTTTGTTCTTTAAAAAAAAAAAGTTTTACCCCTTTTCCCCCCCAATTTCGTGATATCCAATTGGTAGTTACAGTCTTGTCCCATCGCTGCAACTCCCGTACAGACTCGGGAGAGGTGAAGGTCGAGAGCCATGCGTCCCCCGAAACACGACCTTGCCAAGCTGCACTGCTTCTTGACACACCGCTCGCTTAACCCGGAAGCCAGCCGCACCAATGTGTCGGAGGAAACACCGTACAAAAAGAACAAAACAAAACTGGTGACCGAAGTCAGCGTGCATGCGCCCGGCCCGCCACAAGGAGTCGCTAGAGCGTGATGGGACAAGGTCATCCCGGCCAGCCAAACCCTCCCCTAACTCAGACGATGCTGGGCCAATTGTGCGCCACCTCATGGGTCTCGTGGTTGTGGCCGGCTGCGACACAGCCCGGGATCGAACCATGAGACCGCTGCGCCACTCGGGAGGCTCTGTTTTGTTCTTAAACAGAAGTTGTGGTTCAGTCGTGTCTCGCTTCAAAAAAAATAAGCGGCTGGAAGAAGTTCGAAGGAACCCTGCAGACTTCATTCTACTTTAGTGCATGGAAGAATAAATAATTTATAGATGTGCAGCTTGTGCCAAACAAACACTGCAGACTATTCTGATTGGAATGGCAATACGTGGAAACCATACAATTAAAATTAACTACAACTTCCGTTTAAGAACCCAACAGCTTTTACTTCATGCTGAAGAGCATTTGTTTCTGTTGCAAAACGTTTAGCAACAGACGGAACGTTTTGCAAAAGACTAAATGTTTTGCAACAGAATCAGAATAATTAGCCTCTCGTTCACCATAGGGGACTTATTGGAGCTGTCATTTGTGACAGACTTACAAAAGTGTGCTTCAAACAATGTACATATGTGATTGCTAGGCCCAAAAATAAGATTATTTCTTGATACCTTTGAAACGAGGTCTAGTTGCAGCCGCAACCGGACTAGATTGTGAACGACTCTTGGAGGAATGACTTGACTGTAACAAGGGAGAGAAGCACATATCGTTTGCGAACTGCAGCAGCCCCCCGAAAGTATGTTCTCGAGTTCGAGTTTGTTGAGCAGAGGCAGGCTAGGTAGGTTTTGGTTGTAAAAAGCTGTGTCCATCGATAACATTCAATAATCAATTAATTACATTAATTATTGCACCATGAGATCAATTATCAGTTCTAAACATGTATTATTCTTCTCTATGCTGCATAATTTATTTTCCGGTGGTCGGAGCACCGCTCTGGAGGGCTGAGCAGGAGAAGCATGTAGCGATCCTGCTGAAGGATTTATTGCTGCGGCCAGCAGGTCAAACAAACTACTAAAATGAACGAGTCACTCAGAAAAATGTATAATGAAAAGAGTCGTTCAAAAAGAACAAATCGTTTGCGAACTGCAAATCACTTCTATACAGGCCTACTCTAATCCATTCATTAACACTAACTACCTTTAGCGCCTATTGACGATAGAAGTCAGATTTGAAAATTCCTAATAAGACACTGAGCACAAAACATCCACTGAATTATTCAAATAATTGTCGCTGAGGACAATTATTTTCCATCAACATTTTATATTAATCCAATGTACATTTACATCTTAGTCATTTAGCAGACACTCTTATCCAGAGCGACTTACAGTTAGTGAGTGCATACATTTAAAAATAAATAAAAATTCATACTGGCCCCCCTGGGAATCGAACCCACAACCCTGGCGTTGCAAACGCCATGCTCTACCAACTGAGCTACACGGGACCAATGTCTACCATTTTTTTGGATGACGTCGTCGCTGCTGGCGCTACTCCTTGTGTGCATGGAAAGTTGGGCCTGTGTAAATCAGATGCAACCCGGATATAGACGGTCCATGAATCGGCGTATGCCGATATTTGGATAGTATGACGAGATACCTACAGTATGTCTCCACCCTAACAATGTTGAGCGGAACGGCGGGCTGTCAACCTCCCGCCTATTCATTTCTTTGAATTGGTGGATACATCTCGTTATTGTAATTATATCTGATGAGGGGTGTTGACGTCAACCGCCTGTATTCAATGGAGAGAGATGCTATGCTAGCCTCATTTCATGAATTAGAGACTCCAATAGAAAGTGTTTTTTCTCAAAGTTGCTGGGATGTCACGTGTCCTTCTTATATCAATACACTCATAACAACGTAAGCTGTTCGAAACTTCTATTTGATCAAATAAACCTCACGTAGCAAATAATCCCTTACATTTTTTGTTGACCAAATTTGACACTCATTGATTTAGCGAAAGAAACGAAACAACGCTACCGGGTGAGAAGACAGATTTTTGGCCAGTTATCACTCGCTTCACCTCTTCCTCTCTGACGTATGCGAAGGTGGGTAGTTTATGTTGAAAACAAGAGTCGGACATCTTGGACAGTCTCCAGTTATTTTATATCTCAGTAACGTAATGAAAGACTGACGCCTTGTCACAAAAAAAAATACGGTCGCCTGCAACTATTGAAAAAAAATCATTTGCGAAATTATTTGATGTGATATAAAAGTAGAGGGCTTTATGTTGCTAGAGCCGTACCGCAACTGATAATTGATTCACGTTTAGATGGAGTATTTGGCTGTCAGTGTCAGAGCCAATTCGCCTCTAAGGTCCTTTGAATATATAAGGATTAACGTTAGGCTCCTTTCGTCCATTATTGTGCTAGGGTTTACTTACGTTTTCCTGGACCAAACTTGATTCCGAAAAATTGACCAATTTTTGTTCTCCTCTTCAAACCGAAAAAGTGGTGTACAACTAACGGGCTCCTGTGTTTAGAGGCCCGTCAAACGAAATACGGAAATGAAACGTTAGCACACAATTAGTACCACTTCTGTTTTACACTAGGAGGCACGAACAGGACAACACGAGAAATAACACAGCGTTTAGTTGCCTATATAGTTGTTGAGTCATTCTAGCGCAAAAGCCCCAAAGTTCACAACAAATGCTGTCACCTGTGCTTGACGTACTGGCAGAGGCGGGCCTAGTAAAATGGGTGCGTTCCAGAGCAACGGCAACTTGATTGTAATCGATGCGCACTTTGGATTCTGTGCTCTCTAATCTGAAATAGTATTGTTTAATCAATCTATCACCGTTTTTTTTTAAACCTTTGGTCTTGGAGACACACTCATTTAATCAATACATTCTCCAAACAGAGATGGCCTATGAGGGTCTGAGGTTGCCAGAGTACGAGATGGGACGAACGCACCTTGGATATTACGAGATATGATCAGAGACGGAAGAGGACGCGAAACATCCCACTCCCTCATTTTTTCTGGTTCATATACAGTAGACTAGACCACAGTTTACATCGCATAGCCACCCCTGAAATAGACCGGAATCATTTTTTTCAAGGTTAAACGGCCAGAGTACATCTTCATTTATCCACCATATTTGGTATGATGACTCTTTTGATATTCTGAGGGGCGACGACCGTCGACCGCCATCTTAGTTCGGGGCAATATCATGCCGAAAAGTTGTTCTGCATATAACTGTACCAATAGGTACTGCAAAAATACAGAGATTACTTTTCACAGGTTAGTTATATTGTTTGATTAAAACGCAATGCAATTACCATATATATTTTTTGTGTGTGTTGATTTCACTCAATTCACTGTATACCATATCTAATTTCTACAGATTTCCTTTCAGCAAACCAACTGTATTTGGACAATGGTTGGATAACATATGCCGAGATGACTTTTATCCAAAGAAACACATGGTCATCTGCTCACTTCATTTTACTACGGATTGTTTCAGCGGTTTAGGCAACCGCAGAAACCTGCTGTGGAATGCTGTACCCACCCTCTTTACATTTCCACCACCAAATTCTAAGGTAGGCCTACTCATTTCACCAGCATCTTTTGGATTCTTACGTTTTACAAACATTTTAGGTATCTTATGAATGTGCATTTTCCTAACTTTTGTGTGTGTGCATGTAACATAACTTGCCTTCTGTCATCAAAAATCATGTTGTTTTCTAACTGGCTTATAACATTTGATTTGATTATTGGCTATTAACTAGCGGTTTTATTTTATTATTAGAAAAGAAAGTCAGGAAAAAGGCTCAAAATGCTTCCAAAGTGTGTCAGTGTGTCCCTAGAAAAAATGGAAACACAGAATGACCTGGACCCAGAAGAGAGACGACTACCCAAATCTGCAGAGAGCAAAAAGAAAGTGAGCCTTTACCTAGCTGAGAATTCTCAACTACGCACAATACAATGGAGTTGAGTGGCAAAGAGATTCCAACTCCCACTGACAACTCTGTAAGGACAAGCACAGGTACACAGTAAGCGTTAAATAATTGATATTTATAAAAGTAACGAGTAGGGATGGGCATGGTAGGGATGGGAGGGTATTCATTTGAGAGAGAAAAATATAGCCTAGGCCTATTTTAACAATGAAAAGGCTTTGTCTAAAATGAAAGAAAATGATCTATGTGACATTGCTACATTGCCTACAAGGACAGATCATTACATGGCCTAAGCACGTTTCACATGTGAAACTTGTTATTGTCTGTGATGCTACAGTCAGAGGCTCCATGTGTAGCAAGTGAAGTGAGAGATTAAAAATATTTTTTAATTCGACAAATTACGGCTAGCCTACTTTGCTGACACTGACAAACATATCAATAAAAACAATGTTGTCCATATCATAGGCCTACAAGAAAGGGACACCAACCTGGTCTCAGAGCATTTCATATTATTCTGTACTTAAATCCAAGACACTCAATTTAGTATGATATGTTACGTTTCGTATGGTATGTATTCATTTGTGGATGTCCATCACCCATTTCGTGTGATATGTTGGGAATTACAATTCGTATTATATGTTACGAATTTGCCGATGCTCTCCACTGGTGCCAATAAAATATGCTATACTGTTTTTCGCTCAATTAAATTTAGAATTTTGATAACTAAAAGACAGATCATTGCCTTCTCTTTACAGGAATAGCCATTTGTTTTCCAAACTATGTAACTATGTTTTCCCGCAATTGTATTTTTAAATATTGCGACATGTCTGGTTGGGCTTCTACTTTTCACTGACAGTCGCAACTCAACAATAATCTGCCCATATTGCGCACGCTGCCTTTCCTTCTGACTGTAGGCAATGCGATTTAAAACAATCCACAATTATTATTTTCAGCTTCCAGGATTATCATGCTGAAACATGAGGTGATGGCGGCGGATGATGTGCATTCAAATTGCCAACGATAAAATGCAATTGTGTTTGTTGTCCGTAGTTTATGCCTTCCAATACCATAAATCCACCGCCACCATGGGGCACTCTGTTCACAACATTGACATCAGCAAACCACTTGCCCACACAACGCCATACACGCTGTCTGCCATCTGCCCGGTACAGTTGAAACCGGGATTCATCCGTGAAGAGCACAATTATCCAGCGTGCCAGTGGCCATCGAAGGTGAGCATTTGCCCACTGAAATCGGATAAGACGCCGAACTGCAGTCAGGTCAACACCCTAGTGAGGACGACGAGCACGCAGATGAGCTTCTGACAGTTTGTGCGGAAATTCTTCGGTTGTGCTTATGCAAATCCAGTTTCATCAGCTGTCCGGGTGGCTGGTCTCAGACGATCCCGCAGGTGAAGAAGCCAGATGTGGAGGTCCTGGGCTTCCGTGGTAACACGTGGTCTACAGTTGTGAGGCCGGTTGGACATGCAGTGCATTCGGAAAGTATTCAGACCCCTTGACTTTTCCTACATTTTATTACGTTACCGTCTTATTCTAAAATTGATTAAAAATAAAAAATAATCCCCCTCAATCTACACACAATACCCCATAATGACAAAGCAAAAACAGGTTGTATTAAAAAGAAAAATCTGAAAAATCACATTTAGATAAGTATTCAGACCCTTTACTCAATACTTTGTTGAAGCACCTTTGGCAGTGATTACAGCCTTGAGTCTTCTTGGGTATGACGCTACAAGCTTGGCACACCTGTATTTGGGGAGTTTCTCCCATTCTTCTCTGCAGATCCTCTCGAGCTCTGTCAGATTGGATGGGGAGTGTCGCTGCACAGCTATTTTCAGGTCTCTCCAGAGATGTTCGATCGGGTTCAAGTTCGGCTGAGCCACTCAAAGACATTCAGAGACTTGTCCCAAAGCCACTCCTGCGTTGTCCTGTTGGAAGGTGAACCTTCGCCCCAGTCTGAGGTCCTGAGCGCTCTGGAGCAGGTTTTCATCAAGGATCTCTCTGTACTTTGCTACATTCATCTTTCCCTCGATCCTGACTAGTCTCCCAGTCACTGGCGCTGAAAATCATCCCCACAGCATGACGCTGCCACCACCATGCTTCACTGTAGGGATGGTGCCAAGTTTCCTCCAGACGTGACCCTTGGCATTCAGGCCAAAGAGTTCAATCTCGGTTTCATCAGACCAGAGAATCTTGTTTCTCATGGTCTGAGACCTTTAGGTGTCTTTTGGCAAACTCCAAACAGGCTGTCAAGTGCCTTTTACTGAGGAGTGGCTTCCGTCTGGCCACTCTACATTTTAGTCATTTAGCACTCTCTTATCCAGAGCGACTTACATGAGCAATTAGGGTTAAGACCTTTCGATTACTGGCACAACGCTCTTAACCACTAAGATACCTGCCGCCCCAGCCAAGTAGCCAAGAGTGTGCAAAGCTGTCATGTAGGCAAAGGGTGGCTATTTGAATAATCTGAAATATAAAATATATTTTGATTGGTTTAACACTTTGTTGGTTACTGCATGATTCCATATGTGTTATTTCATAGTTTTGATGTCTTCACTATTATTATACAATGTAAAAATAAAGAAAAACCCTTGAATGAGTATGTGTGTCCAAACTTTTGACTGGTAGTGTATGTAAATAAGGTATCGTGTTTATTTTTAATACATTTGCAAAAATGTCTAAAAACCTGTTTTCGCTATGTCATTATGGGGTATTTTGTGTAGATTAATGAGGACTTTTTTTAGTTAATACATTTTAGAATAAGGCTGTAACGTAACAAAATGTGGAAAAGGTTAAGGGGTCTTAATACTTTCCGAATGCACTGTACTGCCAAATTCTCTAAAACGACGGAGGCGGCTTATGGTACAGAAATAAACATTCAATTATCTGGCAACACTCCCTCAATTTGAGACATCTGTGGTATTGTGTTGTGACAAAACTGCACATTTTAGAGTGGCCTTTTATTGTCCCCAGCACAAGGTGTGCCTGTGTAATGATCATGCTGTTTAATCAGCTTCTTGATATGCCACACCTGTCAGGTGGATGGATTATCTTGGCAAAGGAGAAATGCTCACTAACAGGGATGTAAACAAATATAATAATTTTATTTCAGCTCATGGGACCAACCCTTTACATGTTGCGTTTTATGTTTTTGTTCAGTGTTTTTGTTCAAAGCTAGCGAATTTGAGCAATATTAGCATTGACATGAAATCAGTCAAAACACATCAAAACAAGATGTATCAACTATGGAATCAACAAGAACAAGATTAAACGAGCTGAAACGAGCCACTTACGATTCTTGCTAGCAATCTGGCCATGCAGAATCACAACAACACACTGACTTCTGCCCCATGGAAGCGCACACATCGTTTTAGTTAAGTTGTTAGCTAACACATCAATAGACATGCATTTACTAATATCTACATTTGTTTTTGACACGTTTATTCTATTACAGACACCTTAATGCATACTTTTAAATTATATTGTTAGCTTAACATAAAAATAAAAACATAAGTTTCCATCTAGTATATTTTTATAGTACTAATGTTACTGTCCCCACTACAACAACAAAAATACTTAAATACATGTAACATTTAATTGAAATACTGTAGAATTCCATTCATTCCTATGGAGGACTGCTCATACTGGGGAGTGCCAATATGGCCGACTGGTGGTTTCAAAGCCTCTAAATGGCCAAGTGTCAGCAATCCAGGGTTTATACACATCATTGGCCAAAACTCATTGCCACTCAACTCCATTGAGATGTGATATTATGTATATCTTGAAGTTGAGAATTCTCAGCTAGCCTTTACCCTGCGCAGTCAGTCATCTAATGCTCAACTTCTATGTGAGTCTTGTGCAACATTGTATTCTGTATGGTTTGAGACTGAGCCATAGGGTTGTTACTGACATTTATGCAATATCACATTGAATCTAAATACCTGAAATTATTTTATTTATCAGTCATAACTGATTTTCTTGTGTGCCCTATTTATTTAGCATGTTGCCATCTTCGATCACAGTTACTCGCTGTCCGACCCATGTGCAGCGAAGGCCCGACTATTCAAAGCCTTGGATGCCAACAAATGGCTCAACAGAAGGTTACAAATGAAGAGACAGCTGATCAACAAGATGAGGTTTAAATTGAAGGCAGCACGCGCCGAGTTGTCGAGTCTACGCAGCAGGCGGAATCTGGCCAGGGCTGCTGGTAAAGGATCTATATGGCCCAGTGTACAGAGCAGAGCTGTGAATGATATCAGCTGACACATTGATTGACATTGGTTTTATTGGAAAGCTATTTTGTATTGGAACACAAGGAGTTAAATGAATTTGCTGATCCTCTTCTGAAAACATAGTTTTTTTCAAATTTCATCTTGGTCAATGAGTGTAAAATATTCATTTTGGAAAGCGTTGCAGCCCGATCCATCTTGCTGCCATGTGCAAAACCATTCTTTGGATAATATAGTACACTTTTCCAAGAGTTTACAGGGACCTTCCTGGACTGAGTTTTTATTCCTGAATTAAAATTAATCAAGGATTCTAAGACACAAATTAAGTTGAAAAATATTCCATTGACATTTGCACATGCAGGCATTTACAAACATGACCAGAATTATTTTTAAAATATACAGTACAAGTCAAAAGTTTGGACACACCTACTCATTCAAGGGTTTTTCTTAATTTTTACTATTTTCTACATTGTAGAATAGTAGAAGACATCAAAAACTATGAAATAACACATATGTAGTAACCAAAAAAAGTGTTAAACAAATCAAAATATATTTGATTTCTTCAAATAGCCACCCTTTGCCTTGATGACAGCTTTGCACACTCTTGGCATTCTCTCAACCAGATTCACCTGGAATGCTTTTCCAACAGTCTTGAAGGAGTTCCCACATATGCTGAGCACGTGTTGGCTGCTTTTCCTTCACTCTGCGGTCCGACTCATCCCAAACCATCTTAATTGGGTTGAGGTCGGGGGATTGTGGAGGCCAGGTCATCTGATGCAGCACTCCATCACTCTCCTTCTTGGTAAATTAGCCCTTACACAGCCTGGAGGTGTGTTGGGTCACTGTCCTGTTGAAAAACAAATTATAGTCCCACTAAGCCCAAACCAGATGGGATGGCGTATCGCTGCAGAATGCTGTGGTAGCCATGCTGGTTAAGTGTGCCTTGAATTCTAAATAAATCACAGACAGTGTCACCAGCAAAGCACACCCACACCATAACACCTCCTCATCCATGCTTTACGGTGGGAACTACACATGCAGAGATCATCCGTTCACCCACACCGCGTCTCACAAAGACACAGCGGTTGGAACCAAACATTTGTACTCCAGACCAAAGGACACATTTCCACTGGTCTAATGTCCATTGCTCGTGTTTCTTGGCCCAAGCAGGTATCTTCTTCTTATTGGTGTCCTTTAGTAGTGGTTTCTTCACAGCAATTCGACCATGAAGGCCTGATTCACACAGTCCCCTCTGAACAGTTGATGTTGAGATGTGTCTGTGACTTGAACTCTGAAGCATTTATTTGGGCTGCAATTTCTGAGGCTGGTAACTCTAATGAACTTATCCTCTGCAGCAGAGGTAACTCTGGGTCTTCCATTCCTGTGGCAGTCCTCATGAGAGCCAGTTTCATCATAGCGCTTGATGGTTTTTACGACTGCACTTTAAGAAACGTTCAAAGTTCTTGACATTTTCCGTATTGCCTGACCTTCATGTCTTAAAGTAATGATGGACTGTCGTTTCTATTTGCTTATTCGAGCTGTTCTTGCCATAATATGGACTTGGTCTTTTACCAAATAGGGCTATCTTCTGTATACCCCCCCTACCTTGTCACAGCACAACTGATTGGCTCAAACGCATTAAGGAAAGAAATTCCACAAATTATCTTTTGAGAAGGCACACCTGTTAATTGAAATGCATTCCAGGTGACTACCTCATGAAGCTGGTTGAGAGAATGCCAAGAGTGTGCAAAGCTGTCATCAAGGCAAAGGGTGGCTATTTGAAGAATCTCAAATATGTTGATTTGTTTAACACTTTCTTGGTTACTACATGATTCCATATGTGTTATTTCATAGTTTTGATGTCTTCACTATTATTCTACAATGTAGAAAATAGTACAAATAAAGAAACTCTTGAATGAGTAGGTGTCCAAACTTTTGACTGGTAGTGTATATAAAATGCCATTTAATGAACACATTTGTTTTCTAATACATTCCCATCTGACAAGTTTCCCTAGAACTTGAACTAAAGTGTACATACAATAATGTATGCACTCACTAACTGTAAGTCGCTCTGGATAAGAGCGTCAGCTAAATGACTAAAATGTAAATGTATTAGATGTAAATGTCAAGAATAAACCACTCAAGTTACATAACTGAATATAGGCCTACATCTCATGCCTGTTTTTTCTGTACTTTAAGTACAGTATGTAATGTTATCTGAGTGTGATTTTATACTGCATGAGAAGGGAGATAGTCAGCCTTGTACTATTCACTGACCTGTCAGGCACAGGACACCCAGATGACATAGCCTTATTGGGCAATCATGTCAGTAGATCCATTGATCTCTGACAGTGCAAACCATACAGAAGGTGGGGTACACTTCCAATCAACTTTGGGTTAATCTTTTGACTAATGTGTATGTTGTACAAAAAATAATGTGACAAAATATTGTTTCCAGCTCAATTTCCAAAATGGGCTATTGCAGCTTGGAAAAGATAGATTTTAATAATATGGTGCATTCATACCTTCAAGAGGGTCACATAGGCACTGCAGTGTCTGTACAGTACTGAGTCATCCATTACGAGCCATACCTGAAAGGGGAGTCCTTTAAAGATTCATAGACTATAGGCTGAGGAAAACGAGATTACGACCATCCCATTTTGAGAGTGACTTTAGACTGAATTTCATTCAAAAGGGCAACCCCCTACTGAGTAAGTTTCTGCCATTTCTCCTCCTCTGCATAATTAGATGGACAACATAAAGAGAGGGGATATGCATGCCTTTCTTTTAGGACACAAGGGGTAAATCGGTGTCTACAATACAAGTCTGTCCATCCATTGTCAAACTATCAGTTTAACGTTGTGTCATGTCCAGAAGAGGTTCCTATGTTTCGGCATCAATCCTGTGAGCTACATGAGGGAAAGAGAAAAAAACAGCAATTGAATACTGTTGAACACAATTACAGTATGTGTTTTAAGAAATGTAACTCATGTAGTTGAGCAGACATATTGGTAAGGCTACCTACATTGTTTTGGTATCCTGAGTGCTTCCCCTTCGGGAGAGAGGACTTGATGCATCACTCCCCGGAACTGATACAGGACCTTCAGACTCTTCTCCTCCCCCACACAGGGGTCATAGAACCCAGGTAGTCCTGACTGGGAGGACAACACAATAACAACATCAGTCATCATCACAGACCAGTCAACCCTACTTATTACGCCTAAGGCAGTTTATAGTTTCATGGTGTGTTTCTGTAACCAAAAATTGCATTAACATTATCAGTACCATGTACTGTACCATGTATAATACTCAGAAAATTTGAATGGACCAAAATTACTCTAATACTGATATTTTGCATTCAGTAATTCCAAAGGAAAGGGAACTCAGGGCAACTAAGTTATGATAGTTAGTCTAGTAACTATGGCTGTATACCTTTGTGGCCTCTGTGAGGATGAGCTTGGAGTCCTTCACCAGGCACTGCAGCGGAACAGTCACATCGATGACCTTTGCCCTCTCATGCTTCCGACTGTTGTCCGTCACAAACTTGCCATACCAGGCGTTAAGGATGATGAGACCTGATCCAGGAAACAACATCCTGTCAGCATGTTGATTCAATCAACTAGTTTTATAGCTTATTTAATGTGTTCTTATACTGATCACTTCTGGTGCTGACAGAAGCCCATTTACCCATTCTAGATTCCTCAGTTTCAATGATCCTGCGCACAGATTCCTGCATTAGCAAAACCTTCAGAAGGAAAGAGAGATGTCAGATCAAGCTGCTAACATTCACAAAAAAGAGACCAATAGAGCATCTAGTCCTAGTGTTTTTATCATACTGTAAGAAATGTGTGTTTGCTTGATGCCGATATACATTATGTATTTCTATGAGGAGACATTGTTTATAAGGAGACATAGTGCACTCACAGCAGACTCTGCCTCCTGCCTCTTCCTAGCAATGTCTGAGGCTGAACTCTCCCGGTGCTTCTCCAGGTCCCTATACAGTGGAGAGGCATAATGGATTAATTAATAATACATTTATTGAACTTCTAAATCACTTTTCATAATAGGAATCTCAAAGCGCTTCATAAGCAAAAAACAAACAAGCAATATGAATGCTGCATCCTCTGCAGATGGAGAGGGTCAGCTCATTGCTTGACAGGAGGGAACTGGTCAGAGGATGGTAAATGGGAGTCTTGGTGAGGGCAAGTCCGGGAACCAGCCTGAGACATATAGCCACTGGACTTCTCCTCTTCTGCTCTGTGAAGCACCCACTGGGCGCTTGAAAGCTCACCACACAGTTTAGAATAGTATCCAGTCGTCCTCTCTACGAGTGTTAAACAAATCAAAATATATTTTAAATTTGAGATTCTTCAAATAGCCACCCTTTGCCTTGATGACAGCTTTGCACACTATTGGCATTCTCTCAACCAGCTCCATGAGGTAGTCACCTGGAATGCATTTCAATTAACAGGTGTGCCTTCTAAAAAGTTAATTTGTGGAATTTCTTTCCTTCTTAATGCGTTTGAGCCAATCAATTGTGTTGTGACAAGAAGATAGCCCTATTTGGTAAAACACCAAGTCCATATTATGGCAAGAACAGCTCAAATATGCAAATAGAAACAACAGTCCATCATTACTTTAAGACATGAAGGTCAGTCAATACAGAAAATGTCAACAACTTTGACAGTTTCTTCAAGTGCAGTCGCAAAAATCATCAAGCATTATGATGAAACCACTACTAAAGGACACCAATAAGAAGAAGAGACCTGCTTGGGCCAAGACACGCGAGCAATGGACATTAGACCGGTGGAAATTTGTCCTTTGGTCTGGAGTCCAAATTTTTGGTTCCAACCGCCGTGTCTTTGTGAGACGCGGTGTGGGTGAACGGATGATCTCTGCATATGTAGTTCCCACCGTAAAGCATGGAGGAGGAGGTGTTATGGTGTGGGGGTGCTTTGCTGGTGACACTGTCTGTGATTTATTTAGAATTCAAGGCACACTTAACCAGCATGGCTTCCACAGCATTCTGCAGTGATACGCCATCCCATCTGGTTTGGGCTTAGTGGGACTATCATTTGTTTTTCAACAGGACAATGACCCAACACACCTCCAGGCTGTGTAAGGGCTATTTTATCAAGAAGGAGAGTGATGGTGTGCTGCATCAGATGACCTTGCCTCCACAATCCCCAACCTCCACCCAATTGAGATGGTTTGGGATGAGTCGGACCCGCAGAGTGAAGGAAAAGCAGCCAACAAGTGCTCAGCATATGTGGGAAAAGCATTCCAGGTGAATCTGGTTGAGAGAATGCCAAGAGTGTGCAAAGCTGTCATCAAGGCAAAGGGTGGCTATTTGAAGAATCTCAAATATAAAATATATTTTTATTTGTTTAACACTTTTTTGCTTACTACATGAATCCATATGCGTTATTTCATAGTTTTGATGTCTTCACTATTATTCTACAATGTAGAAAATAGTAAAAATAAAGAAAACCCTTGAATGAGTAGGTGTCTCCAAACTTTTGACTGGTACTGTATGCAATAAAAACAAATGGTTATCAAAAACAAAAACCTTGGTTCCACAAACAATAGAGAAAAAAAACACACTTTAAAATAACTAAATATGTAAAAATGTACAGGAGCTCTGTCTATGCTGCTACCAGGGCGCTATGGCAACTATTAACCTAATTAGGAGGGCTTCCCAAGATTGCATTGCACACACAATTTGTTTACTACTACTTACATTAGTAAAGCCAAGCTAGGAAGCTGTAAGGCCATCACACAATGAGCAATTGAAATGCTGTCAGTGACACAGACTTTAACATGAACTGTAGATAAGTGGGCAGTCTTACTGTTCCTTCTGGGCGCGCACGTAGGGCCTGATGACGAGTCTCTGAATAGCGAGGTAGAAGACGAGTGGTCCAACCGTGGCGTAGAACACTGCACTGGGCAGGAGCTGGTCAGTCAGATGGATGGGGAAGAAATATGTCTGGCTGGCTCGGTTCAGCCTGTACAAATAAGATGCATCATCAATAACCAAGTTTCCATCTAACCATTTTTATGTGAGGAAAGTACCTGTCGGATAAAAAACTGACGACAGGCCTGATGCCGGTATAATTTCCGGTAAATGTTCCAAATGTCGACAGAACAAAACACGAAAGACAGATGTGGATAGCTTTTTTGTTGGTGATATAAATCATGCGACAAATGGCAGTGAAAATGTGAAAATGTTGGCACATTTGTTGATAGAATAACCATCATGTTGCAGTAAACTTGCAGTCACGCTATGATGTTGTGTGGTCCTCCCACTACGACCTGGCAAAAAATACACCGTTTATTGGGCTACCGATTAATGAAGTTATGATGAACTTCACAGGGTGGTGAAAGTGCACGGTGATGAGCTTGATGCTCCTTTCCGATAAATATGGAGGGTCTTCATTTGTATGCTAGTGACATGATGATCGCTGCTTGGCTGCCAATTGACAAATAAAAATCTCACTCTTATCCATAATCGCAGTGTATCTGCGAGCTGTTCCTAGAGTGCACGTGCCAAGACCAGAGCGGGCATATTTGCAGTTTATCACAGACTTTTTGTTCCAAAATCATTGACAGAGTTGGGATGGGATGGAAACATACTGTAGCACTTGTGTTTTTTATTTGGTAAATGAAAGGTTATACAACAAAGAGCTTTTATGTGCACTAATTCATTACGCACATCATTTATTTAGCAAGAAGCCAGTTTGATGGAAACACGAAGCAGCAGGTCGATTAGAATTAGAATATTCACTTGAAAATCTTTTGACAAATTGATGAAAACTTCACTAATGGCTGATCAGTTCCAACAGAAATCAATAGAAAACATGTAATTTAGCAGACACTTATTCTGAACAAATGGGTCATTCCTGAATTGGGCATTTGCGTCCCTCGCGTTTGCAACCATGACCATGAAAAACACTTTAAAATGACAAATGGTTCATATTGAACTATTTATCAATGATTAAACATAATGCAAGTCCTTTATACTGCAAAACGTTACATTTATACATTGTTTTAAAGGTAGAAGCAGCGATATGACGTAGATGCACAAAGTAAATAGCAGTGTGGGTCAATTTCTGCAACAACTAACAGCGTTGGAGTGCGAGGCTAAATTTCTTCGCTGTTTTGGTCCATTGGCTACCACGTTGTAAGAGCATAAAGCGAACCTGTGTACATGCACAGATACTGTGTGTGACTGTGTGAGAGCGAAGTGTTGTATCTCTCTCACTCGCCATATCAGCGGTGCTGCTCGTGCGACCTCATATCGCTGACTACCTTTAAGTACTTAGGGCAAGCTAATTGGTCCGTCTCTCCCAGTAGTGATGAGTGATGCTGAGACTCAGATTTTTCACTTTAAAATGTATGTCAAACAAAAAACAATTATTGCAAAGTTAAGCAAACCATGGACTACTTTTAACAATTTCCACTGAACATTTTACAAAAACACGTTTACTTCAAAAACAGAGCAGATGCAAGGTTTGGTAACAGAATGACGGTTTGTGCCTCACTCCGTTACCGTGGAATTGCCCAGTAGTGACATGTTTTGGGGATTTAGAGATATCTACACTGCTCAAAAAAATAAAGGGAACACTTAAACAACACAATGTAACTCCAAGTCAATCACACTTCTGTGAAATCAAACTGTCCACTTAGGAAGCAACACTGATTGACAATACATTTCACATGCTGTTGTGCAAATGGAATAGACAACAGGTGGAAATTATAGGCAATTACAAGACACCCCCAATAAAGGAGTGGTTCTGCAGGTGTTGACCACAGACCACTTCTCAGTTCCTATGCTTCCTGGCTGATGTTTTGGTCACTTTTGAATGCTGGCGGTGCTTTCACTCTAGTGGTAGCATGAGACGGAGTCTACAACCCACACAAGTGGCTCAGGTAGTGCAGCTCATCCAGGATGGCACATCAATGCGAGCTGTGGCAAGAAGGTTTGCTGTGTCTGTCAGCGTAGTGTCCAGAGCATGGAGGCGCTACCAGGAGACAGGCCAGTACATCAGGAGATGTGGAGGAGGCCGTAGGAGGGCAACAACCCAGCAGCAGGACCGCTACCTCCGCCTTTGTGCAAGGAGGAGCAGGAGGAGCACTGCCAGAGCCCTGCAAAATGACCTCCAGCAGGCCACAAATGTGCATGTGTCTGCTCAAACGGTCAGAAACAGACTCCATGAGGGTGGTATGAGGGCCCGACGTCCACAGGTGGGGGTTGTGCTTACAGCCCAACACCGTGCAGGACATTTGGCATTTGCCAGAGAACACCAAGATTGGCAAATTCGCCACTGGCGCCCTGTGCTCTTCACAGATGAAAGCAGGTTCACACTGAGCACGTGACAGACGTGACAGAGTCTGGAGACGCCGTGGAGAACGTTCTGCTGCCTGCAACATCCTCCAGCATGACCGGTTTGGCGGTGGGTCAGTCATGGTGTGGGGTGGCATTTCTTTGGGGGGCCGCACAGCCCTCCATGTGCTTGCCAGAGGTAGCCTGACTGCCATTAGGTACCGAGATGAGATCCTCAGACACCTTGTGAGACCATATGCTGGTGCGGTTGGCCCTGGGTTCCTCCTAATGCAAGACAATGCTAGACCTCATGTGGCTGGAGTGTGTCAGCAGTTCCTGCAAGAGAAAGGCATTGATGCTATGGACTGGCCCGCCCGTTCCCCAGACCTGAATCCAATTGAGCACATCTGGGACATCATGTCTCGCTCCATCCACCAACGCCACGTTGCACCACAGACTGTCCAGGAGTTGGCGGATGCTTTAGTCCAGGTCTGGGAGAAGATCCCTCAGGAGACCATCCGCCACCTCATCAGGAGCATGCCCAGGCGTTGTAGGGAGGTCATACAGGCACGTGGAGGCCACACACACTACTGAGCCTAATTTTGACTTGTTTTAAGGACATTACATCAAAGTTGGATCAGCCTGTAGTGTGGTTTTCCACTTTAATTTTGAGTGTGATTCCAAATCCAGACCTCCATGGGTTGATAAATTTGATTTCCATTGATCATTTTTGTGTGATTTTGTTGTCAGCACATTCAACTATGTAAAGAAAAAAGTATTTAATAAGATTATTTAATTCATTCAGATCTAGGATGTGTTATTTTAGTGTTCCCTTTATTTTTTTGAGCAGTGTATTATTTTGAATGCTAGAAAGTAAACAAAAGTATTTAATATATTGTATAGACAAATAACTAAAATATATATTTTTTACTATAATATGTGTCCAAGTTTTGTCATTGCTGTTATCGCCTTAAAAATGCCTCATTACAAAGATATACAAGGACCTTGAGCATTCCCTCCAGTGGCAAACTTATCGGGGAGGGGTATATTTTAAAGAAAATTATTAGCTAATCACACCCTTTTAGTATGTCAAATTTAGGATTCCATTGATAATTTGGTGTGTTTAAATACAACATGTCATTGGTTTTACTCAATTTAAATTAAGGGAAATTAAATTGTGAGCAAAAATTATAAATCATATCACTTCAGTAAATATTTGTAAAGTGTTAATGACCGTAGCTTTGAGAATCTGTGGCCTCCATTAAAGAAAATCCTCAATGACCTAAAATGTGTCATTGGTGTTACTACTCCTACTGATGGCACAATGTTATGATAATGGTAAAAAATATTTTAAGTCATTAATTAAGCTACCATATTAGTTGATTTAGAAGATGTACAAAATACATGTACATTTTTAAAATGCCACCACAATTCAAGAATAACCCAAATGCCTTATGCCAACAACTACTGTACTGATGTAGTTTGGTTAAGAAGAACTGAGCCATACTTACTTTATCTTTAGGGAGACGCCCTGAGGTACTCCTACACTGACGGTCGCCCCCAAGACACTGTGCCGACTGATCTTTCTTTCTGCACCATACTCCACCACTGTCCCAAAAAAGCCAGCTCTACAAGACAATGACAGAGACAGTCAGCAAGTCTTCCTATATTGTCTGTGAACTTACCTGATGATTTATAATAAAGGTTTCAGTTCTAAGATTCAATGGCCTCCATTTATTAAAACAAATAAATGTTCAAATCTTTATTCATTTTTTTTCTCCCCAATTTCGTGATATCCAATTGCGATCCAAGTACAATCTTGTCTCATCGCTGCAACTCCCCAACGGGCTCGGGAGAGGCGAAGGTCGAGTCATGCGTCCTCCAAAACATGACCCACCAAACCGCGCTTCTTAACACCCGCCCGCTTAACCCAGAAGCCAGCTGCACCAATGTGTTGGAGGAAACACTGTTCAACTGAAGACTGAAGTCAGCCTGCAGGCACCCGGCCCGCCACAAGGAGTCGCTAGAACGCAATGAGCCAAGTAAAGCCCCCCCGGCCAAACCCTCCCCAAACCCGGACGACGCTGGGCCAATTGTGTGCTGCCCTATGGGACTCCTGGTCACGGCCGGTTGTGACACAGCCTGGGATCAAACCCGGGTCTGTAGTGACGCCTCAAGCACTGCGATGCAGTGCCTTAGATCGCTGTGCCACTCGGGAGGCCCAAATGTTCAAATCTTATCATAAAGTGGACATACTTGATTGAGCCCTTGACTTTGGTCTGGTCATCGTCCTGGAACTTGTACTGGTAGCTCATCATCATGAAGGAGTGAGGGATCCCAAGCTGTGAGGGCCAACAAATACAGTTAGGAAAGGAAAATAGAGAATACATCTGCAATAGACAGCAGTCCCTTCTTATACTACAATATATAATTATCTTATGCTGTGCTGACCTGCATGGCGAAGGTGAAGTGACTGGTCTTGGTGTCCCTGACGATGCTGGTGTTCATGGAGGACTGGGTGCCCCAGCGCCACTGCAGGTACCCCATGGTGTTCTTGTCCAGGTGCCGAGCCAGCATCGTGGTGCAACTAGGCCGCACGCCCCGGGACGAGAAATGGAGTCCACACTGAGCAGTCACAAAGCTGGAGAAAAACAACAGTCATTCTACGTCTTTTCTGATTCAACTATCGCCCAAACACAATGGGATGCTGCTTTACAGATTTCTAATGTTCTGGAATTTTGACTTACCAGCGAGCTGTGAGGTTGCGGAATATCTTCATACCTAAGAGAGGCCCGTGTGTGTCTCCTGCCCCAAACTCCACCTGGTGGGTAAACAAATAACCTCTCACATTGGGCTACTCAGTGTAAAATAGAACTCTCACATTGGACTACTCAGTGTAAAATAGAAATCTCACATTGGGCTACTCAGTGTAAAATAGAACTCTCACATTGGGCTACTCTGTAAAATAGAAATCTCACATTGGGCTACTCAGTGTAAAATAGAACTCTCACATTGGGCTACTCTGTAAAATAGAACACAAATGTGATAATTGTTTGTTTGCATGTATTGTAGGTGTGTGCTAGTATTCAGTGTGTGCATGCGTTTTCTATGTGAGTGTGTGTATGTGTATATGTAGGTAGAAACTGTAAATGATTGAGTGGTTCCTGACCTCCCCCCAGCCCTTAGCAGAGGTGACTCTCCGCAGTGCCAGGTTAATGTTTCCTCCTCCGTTTCCGTTGTGGGTTGAGAGGGAGCCAGAGAGAACAGCTGTGTCTGAGGTGGTGAGGGGAGCCTGCAATACATAACAAATAACAATACACCTGGTTTTCCAATGTGGTGGTCTGTAAGCCATACTTTTACCCATACACATATTTTAAGAACTGTGCCTTTTTCAAACCCATTTCTAGCTTTTCTATTACCTCTATGGATTGCGATATGTGCATCTTGTTGATCTCAACATGTGGGAAGCCCCCTCCAGGCACATCCTCGTAATCCTCCTCATAGCGATCAAAGAGGTCAGTGGCATCAACACCCACACTGATCATCCCCTGAATGAGACACAGTCACATCAATAAATGATCATGCAACAGCAGGGTTTCAGTCCTACAGTCACTAATACATCACAGACACACACACACTAATAAACATTAGACCTTGGGATTGGTCCTCTGCTGTAGCCGTCTCTCCTCCCTCTCTCTCTGCAGACGCTCAAACTCCTCTCGGATCTCTACTGGTGTTCTTTTTCTCTCCACCACCTGGAATCAGTAGAACATTTGAGCCATTTCTGCCTGATGATCAGCGACACTCATTAGCTTGACAATGAAAACGTCCTCTCACTGTCAACTGCATTTATTTTCAGCAAACCTAACATGTGTAAATATTTGTATGAACATAACAAGATTCAACAACTGAGACATAAACTGAACAAGTTCCACAGACATGTGACTAACAGAAATTAAATAATGTGTCCCTGAACAAAGGGGGGGGGGGGTCAAAATCAAAAGTAACAGTCAGTATCTGGTGTGGCCACCAGCGGCATTAAGTACTGCAGTGCATCTCCTCCTCATGGACTGCACCAGATTTGCCAGTTCTTGCTGTAAGATGTTACCCCACTCTTCCACCAAGGCACCTGCAAGTTCCCAGACATTTCTGGTGGGAATGGCCCTAGCCCTCACCCTCCGATCCAACAGGTCCCAGACGTGCTCAATGGGATTGAGATCTGGGCTCTTCGCTGGCCATGGCAGAACAGGAAATCACACACAGAACGAGCAGTATGGCTGGTGGCATTGTCATGCTGGAGGGTCATGTCAGGCTGAGCCTGCAGGAAGGGTACCACATGAGGGAGGAGGATGTCTTCCCTCTAACGCACAACGTTGAGATTGCCTGCAATGACAACAAGCTCAGTCCGATGACACACCGCCCCAGACCATGACGGACCCTCCACTTCCAAATCGATCCCGCTCCAGAGTACAGGCCTCTGTGTAACGCTCATTCCTTCGACGATAAACGCAAATCCGACCATCACCCCTGGTGAGACAAAACCGCGACTCGTCAGTGAAGAGCACTTTTTGCCAGTCCTGTCTGGTCCAGCGAGGTGGGTTTGTGCCCATAGGCAACATTGTTGCCGGTGATGTCTGGTGAGGACTTGCCTTACAACATGCCTACAAGTCAGTCCAGCCTCTCTCAGCCTATTGCGGACAGTCTGAGCACTGATGGAGGGATTGTGCGTTCCTGGTGTAACTCGGGCAGTTGTTGTTGCCATCCTGTACCTGTCCCGCAGGTGTGAAGTTCGGATGTACCGATCCTGTGCAGGTGTTGTTACACGTGGTCTGCCACTGCAAGGACGATCAGCTGTCCGTCCTGTCTCCCTGTAGCGCTGTCTTAGGCGTCTCACATTACGGACATTGCAATTTATTGCCCTGGCCACATCTGTAGTCCTCATGCCTCCTTGCAGCATGCCTAAGGCACGTTCACGCAGATGAGCAGGAACCCTGGGCATCTTTATTTTTGTATTTTTCAGAGTCAGTAGAAAGGCTGTGACCTTAATTGTCTACCGTCTGTAAGCTGTTAGTGTCTTAAGGACCGTTCCACAGGTGCATGTTCATTAATTGTTTATGGTTCATTGAACAAGCATGGGAAACAGTGTTTAAACCCTTTACAATGAAGATCTGTGAAGTTATTTGGATTTTTACGAATTACCTTTGAAAGACAGGGTCCTGAAAAAGGGACGTTTCTTTTTTTGCTGAGTTTAGTACTTCTTCCATCCACAGTAACTATGTATGTTATAAATGCAAGCCCAAAAGAAAATGCTGTACTTACCTCCCATCCTTCAACATCCAATCCTCTCTTGCCATAGATGTCATAGATAGCTCGTGACTGTGGGTCACTAAGGACTACAAGGAGATACATGCAACTGATCAGTTTCAATGAAAGGTTCAGATACATACAATCCTAAGCAGAGACAACAACGAGCAAGTTGAGCTAAATGTTCAGCTGAAACAGAGCAAAGCCATGATCGTAAATGGCATGAAGTCACAGTCTAGGATTCTTCTTACCCTCATAAGCTTGATGCACTAGGTTAAAGAGCTGTTCCGCCTGCCTTTTCAATTCAGGGTCTCTGTGCTTGTCTGGGTGGTAGAGCATGCACAGTCGCCTGTATGATCCCTTCAGTTCCTCCTGTGTTGCCTAATAGATTAACAGAAGAAAACATGAGAACTTTAACATACTTGTGAAAAAGTACTAGCTAGTTAATATGATTCCAAGTAGACAAATACATCTTTACAACAAAGGTTTCGCTAACTAGCTAGCCATTTTACAACCGATTTTACAACCATTACCCCAGGGGAGAACGACTGCCCCCTTTCATTGAAGCCACGGGAATTCAAAGCTGACTGCGATACTGCAGGCATTGTTTGCAGAAAACAGTATCCCCCATTATAGTGAATGAAAAAATGCCAATGTTCGTTGTCAATCTTTACGTAAATAAAATAAAAATTTTAAGACAATCATGGTACTAATAATTGAGTCTAATACACCAGATGTCTTTGAACCGATAATTTTTAAATCGCAAACAAAAGTTAAGAATAATTTAATTGCTAATGGCAGCCTGCAGTACCTTGGTCAGCCTTCAACTTGAGTTACTCAATGAAAGGGGGCAGCACCAAGCTAGCCTGCAATGTCAAATCAAATCAAATTGTATTTGCCACATGCGCCGAATACAACAGGTGTAGACATTACAGTGAAATGCTTACTTACAAGCCCTTAACCAACAATGCAATTTTTAAGAAAATTAAAATAGATAAGTAAAAAATTAAAATAATAAACAATAATAAAAATAATGAAAGAGCAGCAGTAAAATAAAATAACAGTAGGGAGGCTATATACAGGGGGTACCGGTACAGAGTCAATGTGCGGGGGCACCGGTTAGTCTAGGTAATTGAGGTAATATGTACATGTGGGTAGAGTTAAAGTGACTATGCATAAATAATAAACAGAGTAGCAGCAGCGTAAATGAGGGGGTTGGGGTGGGGGGGCAATGCAAATAGTCTGGGTAGCCATGATTAGCTGTTCAGGAGTCTTATGGCTTGGGGGTAGAAGCTGTTAAGAAGCCTTTTGGACCTAGACTTGGCGCTCCGGTACCGCTTGCCATGCGGTAGCAGAGAGAACAGTCTATGACTAGGGTGGCTGGAGCCTTTGATAATTTTTAGGGCCTTCCTCTGACACCGCCTGGTATGGAGGTCCTGGATAGAGTAGCTCAAACTACGCATGCTATGTCTCCATGAGACACCATCTTAACTGACTTAATTTGCCTTCAATGCGCTATTGAGTCTTCACATAGGAATGAATGGTGTGATGTGATCGATGGCTTTGTCCATTCATAAATACAGTTATTAGTTTACACTTGATGCTCTCGAACACAACCAATATCTGCATAGAAGACAAAGAATTGATGAGAGAAAAAAAGTGACCATACCATCCATCTATTCTACCATGGCATGGACAAAAGTCAGGGATGCTGTCCTTGTCAATATTGCCAGCTAACGTCCATTAGGTTAGCCACATTTTATCCAACAGTCTGAAATCAATGGGCTTGTTCCGAGTGTTAAGCCTAAAGCAACCGACTGTAGACGAAAGTCGAGGAGTGAAGTCGGGGAGGTGCATCGGTGACAGCCGAAAGTCGGACACTGATGTGGTTTTCCAACAGCAAGGCTCAGTGCAACATGGCAGTGTTGGCATTGTTTATAAAAGTTTCTTTATAATGCTGAAATAAACAGCCCCCATATGACACACAACCAGAAATGTGTATAACACTTTTTTTCTCTCTTTTCTTAAAACTGCATTGTTGGTTAAGGGCTTGTAAGTGAGCACTTCACTGTAAGGTCTACACCTGTTGTATTCGGTGCATGTGGCAAATAAAATTTGATTTGACATTGTACACTCAATTGGTGAGAGAGAGCCTCTAATATCACATTCATTTGTACATATCCACTGTATACATGAATCGCAGCAAAGTTGCTTCCTGTTTGTCACGTCTTTGCTTGAGTCAAACAAAAACACTCTTGTTATTGGTTGACAAAAGAGCCTCCCACAAAGGTGATGGCTGCAGGATGAAGTTGGGGAACTGCAGAAACTTTCAGTCAACTGCAGTAAAAACGTAATGACCTTTGATCACATGGTTATTGTAAAGTTCATGTAGTCGACATGTAGCCGCAAGCCAGACAATTTTTATCCACATAATGCAACACACTTTGAAAGGCGTGACCAACGATGGTCACCGACTTGACAAAAGTTATCCACTCGAACGCGCCCAATCATAAACGGGGGTCAACTGACTTAGCTAGCTATCTGGCTAGCTAGCTAGTAAAACGGTACGCCGCCTACATGAATTTGTTCCAGAAAACGTGCATCAAACCGACTATGAAATCACTTCTCAAAATATCCACACAAACACATCCGAACAGCATCCAAACATGCCGTACCTCTCTTCTGACATTAAGTAAAGAATAGTAATCATCGTTGTCAATTTCATCGTCTTCCAAGGCCGGCGCCATGTTTACAACCTTTCATTCCCACTCCCGGTCTGTATCTGTGCAACACCACCACTGTTGTCACTGTTGCCCCCTTGTGGACTGGATGTCTTTATCAAGCGTGCCTACAAACATTTTGACAGCGTCAAAAACCAGTTTCATCGCGCAAGTTAGGCTATATAAATCTATTTGATCAATAATTTGTCTCAAATTGACTTTTTTTTTTAATGTTCCAGAGTTCACTAACAAAAGAGTGCCTAAGAAGATGTTCAGTTAAAAATTGCAACAAAAACCCCATTTAGTGCTATTTCTGTAACCTAATCGGCAACTGCTTAAATAGTTTGGTAAACAATGTATAATGCATGACAACTCTGTCAGCTTGCTTTACAGGTTATATTTATGAAAACTCACACTTCGACGCAGCCTGCCCTTGTTACAATGTTACAAAGTTGTTAAATGACACATTACATAATTCCGTGTGATAGTAAACTTTATCACACGGAACTTAAAATAGATTCTATATTCAGTGTATTGTGCACATAATGATTATTCTTACCCTCTTCAAATAATATCTAATGCTTTTAGTGTCTTGTAGCTCAGTTGGTAGAGCATGGCGCTTGCAACGCCAGGGTTGTGCGTTCGTTTCCCACGGGGGGCCAGTATGAAAATGTATGCACTCACTAACTGTAAGTCGCTCTGGATAAGAGCGTCTGCTAAATTACTAAAATGTCAAATGTATTTCTGAATAGGGACTTCAGGCTTTGATTTTCGCTCAGTGGTATTTTTTCTCGGTTTGCTATGCTGCTGTGCGAGCGCGTCGATAGCTGCGCTGTGACATCACCCGCCTCCTCGTCTGGCCCATCAGAGCCACATTTATTTGTATTTTATTTAACCTTTATTTTATCAGGGAGTCATACTGAGAACAGGGTCTCTTTTACAGATGAGCCCTGAATTACATAAATTACAGAAAATACACACATCAATATAAATACAAAATGCAAGCAGAAAGAAAACACAGGGTTGTAATTCAAATGGTTAGGGCTGCAGAAAGGGATAGTAAATATCTACTATCAATTAGCCTATATAAAACACTTTTACATGTATTTATACGTTTTTTCTGTGTTACATAAGCTAAATGGTTGACTTTATGAAATGATTGTATTTAGCCTAATCTAAGCAATAGACATTTGAATCTGATATAGACTATGACTTCATGCCCAATTCGTCATTATAATATAATTATTAGTCAATTCCAAAGCAGATTGGTTCATTTACTTTTGAGGTGTTCTTAAATAATACCTTTCGGCCAATGACGTGGTCTGGTAGTTGCATTGGATGCGTGTTTTCCTTGTTGTCACTAGCCATTCCAGAGTAACATTGTCAGTCATTGCCTCACAACCAATGGTAAGTTTGCATTGGCTGGACTCGCTGCTGCTCCTCGAGTCCCTCCTCGTGCTGTCCTCGCCGTGCACGCGCGTGGTACCCACGGTCGTGAGGAGGAGGAGGATGTTGCGCGCGAAGGGGAAATGGCTGCCGAAAACAAGCCGGAAGGTAAGAGAGATATAATGGGATTAATTTGCCAGTAAAACAACTATGTGATATACAAGATTTTAAAGTCAGACTATGGTGATATACGTGATGAGAGACGTAGAGTTTTTACAAGAATAGCACTCTTGTATTTCCTCCGAAATACTAGGCAGCTAAACGTGGAGACAACATTACCCAGCCAGCTAATATTAGCTAGCTTTCTAGCCAGCTATGCCCATCATAGCCTACACATTATAAAAACAAGGAGACAAAATAGCCAGCATGATCTAAGAGCTGAATTGTATAATCCTATTTTATTCTTGATTCAGTTCAGTGAAGCAGCAAGCTAAGTAGCTATAAAACAAGCTAAGTTAATGACAACAACATGTCATTGCCAACTTCTCTTCTATTTATGCAGCTTTGAAAATAAGCTTGTTTTTATTACATAAATGCAAGCAATCTATTACATAGGGTATTTGACATGGCACATCTATAACATCCTATGTATCAAACGTTGGAATGTAGTTTAGTTTCCTTAGAATGCATTTTAGCCATCCATTGACCATGTCTGGTTACAAAAATGCTTGCTTGCAAGTCCTGGACAATCTTTTTATTTACTCGACGAGTCCACCCGTTGGTTGAGGTTCCTGAACTACCATATCGAGTGAGATTTTAACTGGCGTCGGTCTTACAGACATTATATTATTGCTCAGTTAAAAGTGTTATTTTATAATAATCGATGTTTGCTATAATATATATATATATAAATAATTACTATATATATATATATATATATATATATATATATAGTAATTATTTTTAAAAGCTAGGATGTTGTACCAAACACAGTTTTGGAATTGAATGCCACCAGATGTGTCTCAGATGTGAAATGATGGATAGTAAGATTCTAAAGAGCGTTTTTCTTTTAGCCAAACAGGGTGTTATCTTTCTGTGAAAGGGACAGTCTGAAAATGACGTTTTGATATTCTAGCCTATTTCACTAACTATTTAATATTTAAAGCTAATTTGGGTTGAAATTTGCATCTGGTCTGGATCCATATATTGACTTGAATATGTCATTTGATTTGGAGAGTATAACACTTGAATATTAGTTAACAGTCAAAACTATAGAGGACAGGGCAAATGCATTGTCACTCTAATAATCAAAATGTTAGAATTAGACAGGAGGAATGCATGCATTTACAAGCATAAAATGGTTACGATGAACATTGTTTAATTAAGGCTATTTAGAAGCTTGATTATGACTAAACCATATTAACCTGCAAAGTGGATTTGTTTAGAAGAAAATCAATGTTATAATTAGTATACTAATTGCAGTAGAAGTATATGTATACTGCATCATAATTATTGATAGCGGGTGATAATACAATCTAGTGGACAGCCTATTCAGTCTTATAGTATATAGCCTTAGTATATGCATTTTAAACTTTAAACTGTGCATGGTTTTTCATAAACATTAGAGTTGTTCTGCGTCGTTTTTTAAACTGCAATAGAGCTTTCTTGCATTTAGTCTACGATGCTCTTCATATTGTTTTCAAATACATTAGGTTGTATTGTTCATATGTAACCAGGGGGTGGTGACAAAGAGCGAGCTCATATTTTCAAATGGTTGGCGATAACTGGAATGCATAGAGTGCCTATTGCTTAAAACAGACATAAAATAATTAGATACACTGAAATGTTCTATATTGACACACTACTGTAGAGGGAAGTATTGATGTCAAGAAAATTAGGGGAGTTTTTTAATTTCGGGTGAGCTTAGTAGCCTCAATAGTGAAGAAAATAGTTGACATCCTGTACTTTCTATTTGTGTGTGTCTTATCACAGCTCCTCCAATGTAGAATAAAAATACTATAAATACTTATGATCTAGGTTTATATGATAAAGATAACACTGGTGGACAATGTGTTCCTATACTGTTGTGTAAGACCACAATAACAAAGATGAGAGAGCTGAGCCTGTGATCTGGTTGTGCCGACTCCTAAACAAAGCTCCACAAGGGGGTGGTATTGAGCTGTGGAAGGGATGACCATGCCGGGACACACTTTACATTTAGTGTAGGAGTATGCCTAATGTATATGACAAAATTAAAAAGGGAGGATACCTATCTCTGTAATATGAGTGACTTACTACTTTACAGTGGCATTTAGACCTAATGCATTACATTCACACACAAGATTAATGTAACGTATAGTCACTACCTTTGTTAATTTCTTTGCCTCTCCATCACCAGGAGCTTTTACTGAAACCCTGACTTGAAACTCCCATTGTTGAGCTATTTTCGGTGTTCCTGTGAGGTTGGTCAGTGGGGAGGGGGAGGGGGAGGGGGAGGAGGAGAGAGAGAGTGCTTCATGCCTCCACATAAACACAATGTCCTCTCAGGCAATCTGGAGCCGGGGAGCTTTGACATTGAATAGTCAGCCAGTCTTTATTTTTCCATCCAATATTCATTTCAAATCAGTTATCCAATGATGTGTCTCAGTAAAGGAAAATATAAAGAATATGGAATAGTCTAGGCCTAGAGATAAAACATAAAAAAAAAAAAATGTTTATATTATTTCAGCAATGCGACTACTGCACTACAGTTTTCCTGTAGATCCAGTTATCCTCCCATAGGTGTCCTTGAAGCACCTGACCTGTGGTAGGGTGGAGGCTATAGGTAGAGTTCGCTTGTTTGGCAGGTCTCCTGATGTCACTGTATGTCCCATCCTGTGCTACTCCCAGTCTCTCTCAGTCGTCTTCTTTGTACAGAGTAACACCAGGAGTTACTTCTGACCCATCTAACTGATTGCTAGACCCTGGGGGATAGGTCTTTCCCCAACACTAAGACTACTACTTGTCACGGAGGGCACGGAAATTGCAGGTGTTGATATGCATTTTGAATGAAGATCATTCCAATAAAGTGACACATCCTACCTTCTCAATTTAGACTTTAAAGTAAACCCCCGACACCTTTGAATCCTTCAGGACTTCAGAGTGGTGTTCATGTATTTGTAAAGGGTGTGAAGTGGACAGAGGCAATACCAGATACGCTTCTTATATACACACCCCTAACTTAGTCTCCTTGATCTCTAGACAGAATGCCATTTCTCTCCTCTGTAGCCTATCTCTGGGTCAGTACACTTAACCTGGTTTTAACATGTTCTCACTGAAGGGTATCTTCCTCAAGAGAGAAAACATAACCTTGTATGTCAACCTGAATGTGCTATATGGTCATACTGTACTGTAGACCTGTGAGTAAGATAGGATATAATACACTTTAAAAGCATCAATGCTTTTGCAAACAAATGTGGTAGGGGCCTATTTATAATTGATGTCTGTCTGGGTTGAAAAGTTCACAGGGTGCAAAAATAGAATAAGTCATCCGGAAGTCATTAACTTCAGTCAGGCTGTAGCCTAGTGTTTACATCATCAAACAAGTGACCTCCCCCCGATCTCAGACAGACCGTTTCTTCCTCAGCCATTCCTTTGTGTAGTTCTGTATGGAATAAGCCAGGAATCAGG